GGAAGGAGTGCACGGGGACGAGGTCGGGGTCGGGGACGGACTGGCCGGGTGCAGGGTCGTTCAAGCGAAGGAGCAACTGCCGTCCACGGTGAGAATCGCGCCGGCGGTACCTCGAGAGGTGGACGAGGAGGTGGGCGGGTTGGTAGTGCTGCACAAGGGGGTGGCGACGGTAGAGCGGAGGGTTCAGCCCCAGTAGAGGCAGGCCCGTCACGTGGCAGCGCACAGTGCAACGATGGGGGTGGGGGGACGCCGGTGCGAGCTGCTGGCACCAGTCGGGGCGGAGGGACGTCGGGCGGCAGGCCGCGTAGGACGAAGCGTCCGAGGGAGGTGACGCCGACGGATCCGGTTGTCGAGGAGTTGGCTGGAAATTCCTACTCGGGGTTACTTGTGGGAATGTTTGGCGATATGGTCGATGATTGCCGTGCGTGTCGTAAATGTGGGGACTTGCTTGCTTGGGGTTCGGGTAACACTAGTGCAGGGTGGAGGCACGTGAAACGTAAACATTACCCTAACTTGCAGATTTGGGTTCGTCGGTTCTTGGATCCGGCGAAGCCTGGAGATCTGCAATTCCCTCTTGGGGGTTACGGTAGGGATGGGAAGGGCCCAGTCGTGCCCGATGGGGATGGAGCATGGGAACACGCGGCAAGCTGGCCGAACATCCCAGCCACGGCTATGGTGGGAACCGCGGAGGGGGTGGGGGGGGGGGGGGATGGTGGGATTCGTGCTGCCAGCATGTCTGCATACATCACCCCCCGGGTGCAGGAGGACGAGTTGCGCTCTGCACTGGTGGAGTTGTTCGCCGACGCCGATCTGCCATTCCGCCTTGTTGATCGGCCATCAGTGAGTGTTTGTTCGGCTGCAGTATCGCATTGTGCATGTCACCGTCAGTACATACGAGTTGCGCATCCTTTACTCGTGCTATACATTGCTGTCCACTCGATTACCATCCCTGAAATCCATGTCACTCTCGTTTCAAGGTGTCGTGTGGCCGTTGTCTATTCCATCCCCCGACAGTTCCGTCGGTTCGTCAAACTGCTGAACCCTGGGGCCGAGAGGTTGCTAGGTACGCGGTATCGATTGGCACGGGACATGAAGGCATACGCAGATGCCGCTAGGGCAGAGTTGAAGCAGGAGCTGATTGGTGATGGTCTTGCGGGGCGGCTGTCGCTGAGTACGGACATCTGGACCAGTGAGAACAACCTTGCTTTCATGGTTGTCACCGTGCACAGGATCACTAGTGACTTCCAGCTGCGACAGCACATCCTAGACTTTGTGCAGCTGGAGGGGTCACACACTGCGTCGCTGATAGCGAAGACCCTTGAGGGCATTCTGGCAGAGTGGGGATTGACCGAGATGCTGTTTGCCGTCACGACGGATAACGCTGAGAACAACAACAAGGCGATGCGCATGCTTGCAGGGGATCCAGCGGAGGGTGCTGCGGCGAGGATTGAGTTTCCCCTGTTCGACAAAGATCGGCACGTGCGGTGAGTCATTCGACGCGTAGCTTTTAGAGAACCTACGGCGATCTGCCATTGCCGCCGTGCCATGTGCCACCCGTCGACTACAACCATGTTCATGCCAAACCTCCTCTCCCTTATGCTTTTGAGCCATGCTTGCGCAGGTGCATTGCACATGTCATGAACATTGCAGTGCAGGCGGCATTGAAGAAAGATGAGGTGAAAGAGGCGCTAAAGCGTCTGCGAGCGGTCTGTGCATACGTCGGGTGGTCAGTCCAGCGCTCGGAGAACTTTGCACGGCAGCAGCGCATCTTGAAGCGGCGGGATGATGCACCCGTGCTTCGTCTGATTTGCGATTCGCCGACACGATGGGGGTCCACGTATGACATGATCGTCCGCGCATTGGAGCTGCAGCAGGCACTAGCCTTGCTCCTCATGAGGACAGACGTGAGTATTGGTGGTGGTGAGTGTGGAGTGACAGTAGTGATGGGCTACTTTGAGTGTTTGGCGTGTTGTGATCGTGGTGAAAGGGCATGGTGGGGGGCTGGTTTTGTGGCCAGTATGTTGTGATTGTAATGAAGGGTTATGTTAGGGGGCTGGACTCCGGGCTGGTGTGTTGTGACTGTAGTGATGGGTCTGAAGTGGGGGCTGGTTTAGGGGCTGGTGTGTTGTGACAGTAGTGAAGGGTGCCACTCAGGGGTTAGAATGACCATAAAACAGTAATCTTACTCCATTCTGTTTTTCCATCCACCAGCCCCCCCCCCCCCGCCAGCTACGCGAACAGCTGGATGGCCTTCGGCTGACCGACGTGCACTGGGACGCTCTCGTCGAGCTCAAGGAGTTCCTTGAGCCGTTCAACTCCATCACGAAGGCAGCCGAGGGTTCCTTGTACCCCACGGCTGCTTCAGTCGTGCCGCTGTACAACCAGCTACTCGACAAGCTGGAAATCTCGTTTCGCAAAGAGGGTGTCACTCCCCTCCGACAGGCTCTCATCTCTGCAGCCCTCGCCAAGCTGAAGAAGTACAAGTACGGGGAGAATGAAGAGCTGGTGATTGCCACCTTTCTTGACCCCCGCTACAAGACCGTCTTCTTCCAGCTGCCGAAATGGGAGGCGCGCAATGCTGCGCACGTGACAGAGGTGGGGGGGTGTGCTAGGAGCGTGCAGGATGTGGATGAGGGGACGGTGATACGGCTGGTGCGTGCGCGCTTGGCCGAGTACCAGGCGCGCGTGAGCAGCCGCCGGCAGGCTGGAGAGGTCACGAGCGATACTGGGGGGGCCACTGGGCCTAGCAGCGTTACTGGTGGGACATTGGGCACGACGGGTGCTTCTGGCGGTGGGGGAGGGGGCTTTGAGCATTCCATCTTTGACGAGATGGATGCTCTGGAGGCAGCTGCTGGAGGGGGGGCACAGGATGAGGTGGACCGCTATTTAGCCGAGCCGAGGCAGAGAGGTGGGTGCCCGCTGGCTTTCTGGCGGGCGAGGGAGGATTTTGAGGCTTTGAGAGAGATGGCGCGCGACTATTTGGCTGTGCCCGCCACTTCTGCTGCTAGCGAGCGTGCCTTTAGTCAGGGGAGGAACGTTATTACGTGGCAGCGCCACCGCCTTACTGCAGGCCGCGTTCGCGCCGTCATGGCAATCAAGTCATGGATGGAGCAGAACACTAGCGGAAGGAGCCTCAATGTTGCAGGTGCTGCTCGTGTGCTCGAGGAGCTTTGTTACGAGGGTGAGGGTGATGGCTTCTGACTTGTGGCTGGTTTTGACTGTGGGCACGTGGTTGCTGTGAGTGTGGGGGTGAGGGTGTGGTTTTTGTCACTCTAGTCGATTGATTCCACCACGTAGGAGGTGATTGATATATTTTTAATTTATTGGAAAGATATGTAATGATAGATGTGACAGCTGTAGGCCCGTGCAGGTTCAGATCAGATCTTCTAAAACGTACATTGTATTCTTGTTTTTGTGCTGGAGTACGGGTATGCAAACAAAGCTGTCACATTGCCATCAATACACAAATGCCTACCAGCTAACATACCTGTAATGCCAAAAACAGATTTTTAATAACCCAGAATGCTTAAAGCAACACAATTTAACGGGTAGCCCGACCCGGGCTCGGGTGTACCCGACCCGACCTCGGGTTGTAACTACCCGAGGGTTACATAACGGGTCGGGTACACATTTTGACCCAGGAAACCCGAGGTCGGGTCTACCCGACCCGACCCGAATATACCCTCGGGTAGCCATAAACGGGTCGGGTCGGGTCGGGTCGGGTCAATGCCCAAGCCTAGTTGACACAGGTTCTAGTCATGCGTAGACTTGAGTTTATTGCCTGCTTCGTCTGTACACTTACTATATATACTTGTGATCTCTTGGACTGGCCTTGTGGCCACTGTTGCTTGTGCTCAGAGTGTGTGGTGACGTTGTGATCCACCCTGAGCTTTGTTTTCTTTTGGACTGGTCTTGTGACCGTACTCTTTTTCTGTTTTTGCTAGACACCCCTCACTTAGGCTATGGGGGTGTGTCAAATGTTGTAGCCTGTAGTGAGGTTTGTCTTAGGGGGTACAGAAGTTAGGGTTTGTCATATGTACCCCAACCAATATCAATGCAACACCCATTTCCTCATTCTGACAATATCCAGGGGGTGACGGTACGTATTCAATTACTGATTCTCGTTCTGTTTTTTTGCCTGCAGATGCACTGCGTCGCGCCATCCTTGCTGATCGTGAGCTCCGCCGTCGTGCTGCTGCTCTTCAGGTCTGTCCTACGGTCATTGTCATTTCTTTTTAAACATTTTTCTCTTGGAACGTGCATTTGAATTGTCCTTTGTAGGAAGAGTGTTGACAACCTTCGTGTTTCATGTGTAGTGCTCTGCAGACTAACATCATGCCCGGGGTCTTCCTCCTTCCGCCTCCACCCATGACTCTGCTACTTCCGTCTAACACTCTTGTCTGAAGCTGCCGCACAACCACCTCTTACCATACTTAACTCCTTCGGATGCCAGAACACGTGTAGTAGCAATATGTGAAATGTGCTGCATATTTAAATCATAGCGGTTGTTATGTATAGGTCCCTTTTCTGTACCTATGTCTGATTGGCTATTGATAAATTCCATGGCTAATCAAGAAGTCAGCCAGAGAGTGGGGCCTACACGCGGGGAGACCGTGCTTAATAGGGCATCAGTGGGCCAGGGAGAGGTGACGTGATGGGGGACGATCCAAGGAGAGGCGAGAGAGGGGTAATCAAATAAGTGACTAATCGGATGATTCACCACACAAAGCAGAACACATACTAATTGTAGTGTAGTGTAACATACGGTACCGTACCATGATTGTCTCCCAATGATGGCTCGTATTGGGAAATGATCATACCAATACCATTCATATGGTTTATGAGTATGTATGCACTCGTTCCTTCCATCATATGGTTACCCTGTCCACAATGAGCGTCCATGTGGACTCTTCTAGTGTAGATGAGAAAGTAGCAGAAGGAAGAGAGAAGATGGCGTAGGAGAGATACGGCGGCTTGGAGTGGGATGCCAGCTTGGTATATCACGGCTGTGGAACAGGTTGGTAGAGGAAGAGACGGGAGGAGCGGCGCGAGGCAAGGCGTGGCACGGCATGGGAGAGAGGCAGCATGCGCTCACAAGGACATGGGGGAGTGGGAGGGGAAACAGATGCTGCACCACCCCAACATCCTGAGTGGGGCGGAGTGGGGCGGTGTGTGGCAGCTTGGAAGTGGAAGAGCAGGGAGGAGCGTAGCATGGCGCAGAGGCAGACGTGTGAGAGCAGGTGGAAGAGCAGGTGGGTGGAGAGAGGCAGGGTGGCGGGATCGGGGGAGGAGACGAGCGAGATGCTGCAGGGCTTGATTGTGGTGTGTTGAGGGGAAGGTGGGAGAGGGAGGGGAGAAAGCGACAGAGAGCAATGGAGGCGTGTTTGGGAGTTAGGAAGAGCATTCAGGGAAGGAGTGGCGGGGCATGGAGACAGCTGGCCCGGGCTCTTTCAATCGAAACATAGAATGGACGCATGATCACACAACTAGTCAGCAGCACATAGGAGTTTCAAAAGCACAGCTGCCACAACAAGCACGGACCGGAAAGCTTCTTGCCAGTCGAGCATATCAGTGAGCAAGGAGACATCCCCATAGGCCGTGCCCCACTGCCGCCTCTGCTTCTCCTCCTGCTGCTGCCGCTGCTGCCCCTGCTGCCGGCAGTCGTGCACTCAGTGGCAGTAGTAGCGCTGCCGTGTGCTGCTCAGCTGCTGTGCGTCCATTCCCTGCTTCTGCCTGCACTCACATAGCGCGCCGGGTGGACGGACGGATGGGAGAGAGAGGATGGGGAGGAAGGGGAGGAAGGGGAGGAAGGGGAAAAAGGGGAAAAGGGGGAAAAATGGGAAAAAAGGAGAAAGGGAGGGGGGAGGGGATGGAGGGGGTAATTTGAAAGGGGACGAGAGAGACATCGGAGAGTGAGACACAGAGGGTCGGGGGCGGAATGTCAACGCGGAATAGCTCACAGCGGTGGGTTAGGAGAGAGTGCGAGAGGAAAGGAAGATGGATGGGAGATTACCGTGGTGGCAGATGGGAGACGGTGGGTGGCAGGCAGTGGGTGGGGGAGAGTGAAGGCAATGGTGAAAAGGTGAGCAAGGAATGTGCGGGCGTGCATGCAAGAGGAGGTGAGGAGTTGTCATCAGTCCACACGAGTAAGGACTTGAAGCATACGCATGTGAAAAGGACAGCGCATCACATGCCAAGGCACAGTATGGACATCCCCCATTCCATATCTCACCCCATCCCATCCCATCCCATCCCATCCCATCCCATCCCGCCCCACCCTCTCCCAATCCCGACATACGACGAGAGCACATGCAGGCAGGGCGGGCAGTGCAGCAGGAGGTGCTGCAGGCGCTGCGTTGCCAGCTGAGGCAGTGGCAGTGCGTGGCTGGACCCACACGCGCTCATCTCCAGCAGCGATGCTGCCAGCGGGAGGAGGCGAAGGGGGGAGACGGGGAAGGGGGAAGAGGGGGAACGGGGGAGCGGGGGAAGGGGGGATAGGGGGAAGGGGGGAGAGGGGAGAGGGGGGAAGGGGGGAGAGCGGGGGAAAGGGAGGTTTACAGAGCCTCAGAAACAGTGGCAGTGTGTGGATGGACCTACACGCGTTCATCTCCAGCAGCGATGCTGGCGGAGGGAGGGGGAGAGGAGGGAGGAGGAGAGGGGGGGAGAAAAGAAGGAAGGTGAGAACATGGGGGACGAGAAAGGGGGAGGATAAGAAGAGGGAGAATGATAAGAATGGGGGGAGGGGGTTGAGAAGATTGGGGATGAGGAGAGAATGGGTGCAGAGCAGCAATGGTCAACACATGGGATACAGCACGGTGCAGTGCTGTAGCGCACATAAATCAAGGTCATTACCTCTACCCCCGGCTAACATCACCTCCTATCCCGCACTCCCACACTCCCAATCTCCCGCACTCCCCACTCCCGCACTCCCCACACGCAAACTCCCACACTCTCCTCCTCCTGCCTCGGAGGGGCATCAGTACCTGCAGAGCGCACGAGCAGCATGGAGTGGGGCGAGAGGCGGCAGGGGCGGGCGTAGCAGTAGCAGGCGATGGGGACGAAGGAGAGCGCGCCACCAGGGAGGAACGAGAGGTCCGCTTGCGTGGGGCCCGTGCCCTCGTCCGCTGCTGCTGCCGCGCTCGCTATCACCGTTGACAGGGAGAAGCTGGGAGGGGGGGAGGGGAAGGGAGGGTGAGCGGAGGGACGGGAAGGGAGGGTGAGCGGAGGGGCGGGAAGGGGGGAGAAAGGAGGGAGACAGGAGAGGAAAGTCTAGACGGAGGGAGAGTTGAGTGCGTCTGAACCATGAAGCGTGGTTACATATCCTAGAGCGCATGAGCACGTGTAGCAAGGCGTAAACGCGTACTGAGAAACGGAGAAAGCAAACCGTAAAGCGGGTACTGGTGCACGTGAAACGGATCACGGCTAGTAACGCGTACAGCGGGTACTGGAGCACGTGGAAGGCGCGCTGGCCGATGGTGACGACGAGGTCGCTCGCCATGCCCGCCACTTGCGCCCACTCCGGCTCGCTCTCGTGCGACAGCAGCGACGCCCTCGCGTCGTCGCAGCCCTCGTCGCCCATCGCGCGCGTCGTCGGAGGGAGCAGACGAGCGGGAGGCGCGCGAAAAGAATCGGCGCGGAAAGAATCGGTGCGGAGTAAACGGCGCGGAACGGCGCGAAGGGAACAGCGGCGAGGCACGGGGGAGGGCGAGGATGCGGCTGCTCTCTGATGTTGCCTGCTGCTCTCTCTTGCTCTCTCCTGCAGACTGCTGCTATGTGCCGCTAAGCGTTTCCAACGCGCAGACAAAGCGGACGCTTACACTCGATGCTCCACCCCGCTATCAGTTTGTCGAGCAGTACAATGCGAAAATTGCGTAACGCGCGTCAAGAGCGGAACCTTGAACAAGAAGAAATCAGGGCAGCGATACACACGGCGACGCTTCCGATCACCCTCTCCCTTCACTATCCCGCGACGACGATAAGATAGGCCTTCGTTTAAAACGCTGGCCGCGGTGCGAGAAATGGATGAACGGCTCCGATTGTACCGATCGGGGTCGCAGAAGCGGATTCTCTCGCCTGTAACGCGCAGATGCTGCTGCCGCGGAGTAGCACGCAATGGCTGGTCGTACCACCCGACCGGCCCGAACTCGCCATGGCATCACTGTGCTCTGCGGTGCGATGGGACAGCAGCATCGACATTTCCGACGCTTCGGCTTCGGACGCGACGCGACGCGAGCCGAGCTCACCTCCGCTTTCACTCACGTTCTCGCCTCGGAATGGGAATGGGATGAGGATTTCTGATGCGATGCGACGGACATGAATCGCACCAACTTCAAGGCTGTTGGGATGAGGTCTGGTCTGCCTGATTGTTCACCACTTCGTTACTTGGGCGGAGTGACCAGATAGGCGCAAACGAAGGGAGAGTTTCGAAAGAGTGCACTGCACTTCAATCCGGTGACATGCGATTTCGTGCTTTTCAGATGTGATCTTTGCTTGAAAGTTCTGGAGGTTTTCCAGCAATATTACATGATGTGATGATTGAGAATCTGGATTGCAAGTCAGCATTTATTTATGATATAGGCTAGAGATCACAGGACTAAATAGTTTGTACAGTTACGTATTTTATAATTACTTTAACAGACTGAAATTCTACGCCCTATCCAGAGCAATAGTATCGCTACACTAGAGTACATTCTTAGGGTACATTCTGCTGTGGAATGTGTCCCAATCGATGTGTCCCAATCCCACTTTTGCCGAGTCGCGCTCAAATTTCTAGATCCTGCATGTCCCAATCGACTGATGTATTGCGACTTTGGGCATCATCGCGACAATTATATGCGACCCACTGTGATTGGTCAAGTTCCAATCTGGCACGTACCTACACCAACAGCACAAACACCGGCGATCCAGATCCGCGGAAGGGACTTGGTTATGTACGGGGAGGGCGCGGACAGTGGGTTGAAGATCTGCAGCACATGCGGGAGAACGATTTCCAATACCTTTTCAGGATAAACCGTGCCATACTTGAGCATATCAAAACCGGGATGCAACTCTATCTGGAGCCAATAGTGCACCGGTCAATACTCACAATGGACACCGCGGTGCTCATCCCTATTAAGTACCTGGCGTCAGGAATCTCCTACGTCGACATGTCGTACCTGTTCGGCGTCTCCAAGACACTTTGCCACGAGGTTGTCGACGTGTTCCTCACTAAGTTCCCCTCAATCTTCAAGGCCGCCTGGGTGCGCTTCCCCACACGCGAAGAGCTTCCCGAGATGGCACGGGAATTTGCTGCCATCAAAGGTGTACCTGCTGTGGTGGGGGATGTGGACGGGACTCATATCCACATGAAAGGGATGGAAGGGCACAGAGCGGAGTACTGGACAAGGAAGTCGGCCTATGCCGTACAACTCCAGCTCACGTGTGATGCACGAGGTAGGATATGGGACTACCTGATCGGCTATCCCGGTAGCGCGCACGACATACGGGTTTTCAAAGGGTCTGCACTACTTGAGAGGTTACACAACGGGGACATAGCCCCATACCAAATTGTCGGGGACGCGGCCTACCCTCTACGAGAATACTGCCTAACACCCCTGCATGCCCCTCGAGGAGAGGACCTCATGGACGACTGGGCACAATGTTTCAACTACTGTCAGAGCGCCACACGCATGGCGGTGGAGAGGTGCATCGGCGCCTTCAAATGGAGATGGCGCATCTTCGTTCAGCGCAACGACTGCAGGTTGTGGCGCATTCTCGCCGGGGCCGCGTGTTGTGTGATCCTGCACAGCATGTGTGAAGAGATGCAGGAGGTAAGGCGCAAAAACATGGCATGGGAGAACCTTCCCTGCAACCGCGATCCATGGTGGACGCGGGGAGCTATTGCGACACACAAGTGGGAACCGTGTGTCCCACCAACACAACAGGCACTGAGGGAGAGGCGAAAACGGTTGGGAGAGGCACTCCAGGACTCTTACTCTAATCGGCGGCGCCGCGCACCCATATCTCCACATCCTCATCAGCCGGAGTGACGGTGTTGACGTCGCCCATATCTTCCCACGGCTGTGCGGCTTCGGGGGGTGGCGCGGACTCCCCGCGTGGCGGTGGAGGGGAGAAATCTGGCGGCGCACGTTGCACATCCGGGGGAGCCGATTCAGTCATCCGCTCGCGGGCAAGTCGCAGGTCTTGCGCCATCCATTCTCGGACGAGGCCTTCAACGACTCTCATCGCATCACCGTGGCAGTCCCTGATGGTGGCGGACACCAACATCGCCGCTTGCATGGTAGCTGTCTCATGCACCCAGGCGCGCTTGGGTGTGGCAGTGTTCGTCGGCGGCGAAGCTGAGAAACAAGAGAAGACGGGAAGATAGTAGTTTAGATTGGTAGGTGCACACAATGACGATGTATCGTGCATGTTAGCCGATAGTCTAAACAGCAGTTTGAAACTAAAACTTGTATGGCAAGCATGCGAACCAAACAACATGGAACCGGGATCATGTCTCACCCGTAAAACATGGCGTTGACGTGCTTGGCTGGGACAAAGTTGGAACCTCCATGCCGGCCGGCACGTTGACGTTGGTCGCGCCTCCATCGTCCACCGCATGCGGTGAGGCCGCGGCGGTGTCTTGGTTGTGCAGCTCCATGTACGGATACCATGGTGGTTTCTCCACCGAGCCGTTGCCCGAACCCCCGTCGGCACGCTTGTACTCCCGCCAAAGGAGCGTAAAGTTACTGTTGAACAAGAATGAATGAACTAACAGTGAAATGAGTACAAGTATGAAAACTAGGAATGTGTACCCTCTATAGGCTAACCCACTATAGCCTAAACAACTGCAACAACATATATAATGTTTGACACACCCCCATAGGCGAAGTCGGGGAGAACTAGGGGTCACAAGACCAGTCAAGTAAAGCAAAGCAAAGCAAAGCAAGCTCAGGGTGGATCACAACATCACCACACAATCCGAGCACAAGTGCAAGGCCACAAGGCCAGCTCACATGCAGGAGTACATATATATATATATAAGACTAAACAAGCAAGAGCAGTGATATATATATGTAACAGTACAAAGAGGGTCAAGAGGAGAGCAAGTGAGGCAAGACAGACACAAGACCCAGCTGGGTACAGCAGCGCTGATGACCACAAGGCGGAAGTGCCTTGGTGAAGACATCAGCAGTGTTGGCCTCAGAGGCCACGTACGCAAGTCGCAACTGACCACGCTGCTGTAGCTCACGAGCAAGGAAGTAGCGGAGAGCAATGTGCTTTGTTCTGTGCTCCAGTCTCTGCTCCCGACACAAGGCCAGCATGGCCTTGTTGTCGACGTACAGGACTGGAGGAGAACGAGGCGGCTCTCCAAGGTCGGTCAGCAGGTAGGTGAGCCAGCGAAGCTCCTAAGCAGCCATGGCCCCTGCGTAGATCTCAGCCTCACAACTGGAGCCGAGAACAGAAGACGAGCGAGTAGCCCGCCACGAAACAGAGCCGGAACCAAGGCTGAAGGTGTAGCCCTGTGACGACCGCTGCGTAGCCTGGTCGTCAGCCCAAGAAGCGTCTGCGTGTCCAGTGAGGACCACTGGACTCCGCCCTCCAAGCACTAGTCCCATGCCCGACGTACTGCACAAGTAGCGCAACACCCTCTTCGCTGCAGCCCTGTGCTCTGGTCGGTGTCTCCCAGGAGCAACATAGCGTGCAAGAATGCTAAGAGGGTATGCAAGGTCAGGTCGTGTGCAGGTCATCAGGTACATGAGACAGCCAACAAGCTCTGGGTACGGGCCACTCGACTCTACGGACTCATCCGAAGGCAGAGCTGAGAGTGAGTGGCGAGTAGACAGAGGAGTGGCCTGAGGCGAGGAGTACGTGAAGCCGAAGCGCTGAAGGACCTGCTGCACCATGTGTGACTGAGTCAGGGTAATGGTGCGCTGTGCTCTGTCCCGGGTGATCTGCAAGCCCAGGTAGCTGCGCAGTTCACCGAGGTCAGTGCACGTGTTTCTCTTCTGCAGCTCGGACTTCGCGTAGGCGAGTCCAGCAGTGTCAGCTGTGGCAAAGACCAAGTCGTCGACGTACACGAGGATGTAGAACGGCGGCAGAGAGGTGTCGGTGCGCAGAAACAGCGACGGGTCGGCAGTAGAAGGAGCGAACCCAAGAGCCGCAAGCGTAGTCCTCAGTGTGTCGTGCCACTCACGTGGCGCTTGGCGAAGACCGTAGACTGGACGCCGGAGACTCCACTGGGTACCTGGAGGGAAAGACCCAGTGAAGCCAGATGGGCAGCGTAGCCAGATCTCCTCGTGCAGGCTGCCCTGCAAGAAAGCTGTGCTAAAGTCGAGAGAGTGCAGCTCGTAGTCGCGGTGAGCAGCAACGTGCAGCAGTACCCGAAGAGTGGTCATCTTCGGGGTGGGGGAGAAGGTCTGAAAGTAGTCAATTCCCTGTCGCTGACTGAAGCCATGAGCCACGTAACGCGCCTTGAAGACAGGCGGAGAACCCGGCGGCCGCTTCACCCTGAAGATCCACATGCCACTGACGATGTTCGCCCCACGAGGGGGGACAGCGTCAACGTAGGTGCCTGTGGACTTCCAGGAAGCCATCTCT